CCGCCTTCTTGCAAGGCGACATAGCAGCCTCAGAGAGGGAGCAGCCGCTGTACCTGCTACCGCCCAACGACGGCATCACGGCCTTGACACCATGCTGGAAAGCTCCCCTCTACCTTGTCTGCACCAACATATTATATGGGTTGAGCAACGCGCCAAGACTTTGGTCCCTCACGGTCATATCCCGATTGAGGGAACTTGACTATCGCCAGCATTCCTTTGACAAGATGGTCTTCTTGAAGTTCCATCTCCATCATTGTCGTCTAGGTGGACGACTTTTTGGGGGGCACCGCGAGGACTATGACATGAGCGAGGTGACCAATGCGTTCCGCTGGGGCGTCCTTCACTCCTTCGAAGTGCCTTTAAAGGTACGCAGCTCACCTTGGAGAAGAAGGACACAGGACGCATCGTCATGTGGGTGTGCCAGCGCGAGTTCATAGAAGGACTTGATCGGGGCCGGGTGCCCCGCGGAAGTGACCTGACTCAGGTGTTGGACCTGCAGCAGTGCGAGGAGTTTCGCAGCCTCGCTGGCTGTCTTCAGTGGCTTAGCGGACAGTCTCGGCCCGAGCTCTCTGCGGTGAACTCTTTGGCCAACCACGGCGCCCAGCCCACCCTGGCGGACCTTCGCGACGTTTTTTTTCTAGCCGTGGACTTTGCCAGAAAGACTAAGGACTTTGGGTTTGTGGTGCAAGACGTGCCGCTTAACCGAGCCACGGTCATCCTTGCGTACAGTGACGCCAGCTGGGCGAACGCACAGGAGAGCCGCTCCCAGTGCGGGGCCCTCGTGGTTCTTCGCCACGCCTCGGTACTTCAAAAGTCAGTGCCGGATATGGTGGTGGACTGGAAGTCTTCGAGATGTCAAAGAGTCTGCCGTTCCACCCTGGCTTCGGAGAGCTGTGCCGCCGACGAAGCCTGTGACAGGAGTGCGTACCTGAACATGTACGTACCTGGGCGAGATCTTTTACAATGTGCCCGCGCGCCGCGTCGGCTACCGACTTCACAACCTTGGCATCACGGACGCCAAGTCGTTGTACGATGTGGTTGTGAGCGACACCCCGAACTTGACTGACAAGCGCTCTCTTGTTAATATTCGTGCTATCCAGGAGGTCGTTTCATCCGACCGCTACCACTGGGGACCCGCAGGTTTGATGTGGGCTGACGGGCTGACCAAACACAGCCCAGAACTGCTTACGCGTTTCTTTGAATGGCTTCAAGAGCCAACAGCCGCCCTGAAGCAGTAGGCGGAGAGCTGCAATCCAAAAGAAAACTTTACCAGTGTAAAACTTGTGCTAGCACTCGGCTTTAGTCGCATGCTGTTGGATTGCATCACTCTGTCACCTTCGGCCGCTGTGACCTCTCAGGAGGGCGCCCCTTGAGTCCGCTTACCTTTGCGAGCCCTCTGTGGCAAAATGACCGCTAGTGCGCTGTGATTGCTACCGCTGCTTCCACTTAGAATACTACATGTCACGTAACGGTAGCCTGCATGCCCTTCTTGAGTGAGTACACAGGTGCATATGCCAAATGTAGATAATAGTAATGTTTGTCAAGCACCTCGGGTTTAAGGTACATATTTAACAGGAGACCGATGCACCGTTTTGTAGCACTGTAGTAGGTAGTAGGTTAGATTATCATGCAGAGCATAAACAGGTCATAAACCACGGCTTTTAACTTAACATGAAAGGGCAGATGCCAGTACTTGGCAACCGTACATACAGCAGACTATAGCTTTCGCTTCAATAAAAAGGTAGCGGTGAGACGCATGTGGCACGAGGTATATAGTCGTGCTTGAGTACCTCAGCATGTCTTTGGGTTTTGACTTAGCTGAATCGCATTGGGAGCAGTGTACCTAAAGACCTCGCTATAACGTATAGCCAATATGATTTCATGTTGACGTTTAGATCCAGGTTCCAGCAAATTACTGTCCGATTCGGGTTTAAGGTTTGCTGCCGCCAAAATTGTGTTTTGCGTTGGCCGCCCATCAAAGTTTGGTTGTTTCTGTAACCAGCCAGGTTTGGGTTTCGGGCTGTCACCCATCATCTTTATTTTGGTTTGGGCTTCGCCACGAACCGTTTTATTTGATCGTGATGCGATTATGGGGCGTCTGCCCATCATCTTGTTTTGAAGTTTGTGGTTCCGGCCTTGCCAGCGCCATCTCTCATCAGACTTTGGGGTGTTGAGAGACAGTTGCCCAGTTTAGGGTTTAGCATTTTCAACCTTGTTGTTTTGGCTCTACCACCTGGCTTTGGGGCCTTCTGTCGCCCATCATCCTTCAAACGTTTCGGTTTTAGTGTGCAACATCTCCTGTTAGCTTTTGGGTTGTGTTGCGGGAGTGCTTTTCAGATTTAGTATTGAGACCCACTATCATTTTAAGGTTTTTGGTGTTGTTGCCCAGCATTTCCTGATGGGATTTGCTGTTTTCGGGACCCAATCACCCCGTTTGGGGTTGAGGGTTTTCCATCCATCATCTTCTGTCAAGGCTGGGGAACGAACTGCACCTTGTTGTTGGGTTCAGGCTCAGGTCTTGGCCAGCCACCTTGTCTTTGGGTCTGCAGTTTGGCATTGTCTCCTGCAGAGTAGGTGGGTTTAAGCCATCCTCAAGATCCACATTGAAAGGTTTGCCTCCCATCTCCTCTTCGCCGGGCCCCCTGGTGAAGTTGTGGATATGGTAGACCCAGTTATCACTTGTAGGATCTTGTAGGGTTTGGGTTCTGCTATCCTGCACCTCTTTTCGAAGCTGCGGGTTTGGGGTCCAATGGTGTTCAGCAACCAACCGCATTTTGGGCGTCAGGGTTTCAGGTTTTGCGAACAACCCATGCCGATTTTTACCGCCATTAGCGGGCCTTGGCCTTTTGGGTTGACGGTTTGACACCACTGGTCTCGGGTTTGAGGTCTTCTATCATCCATCATCTCCTTTTGAAGGTTTAGGGTCCTGCTATCCGTCATCTTGTGCTTTGACTTTATTGGCAATTGGTGACTCGTTTTAGTACCAGTGCCCGGACTTTGCCACATAAACTCCTTTTTTAATGCTGGTTGTGCGCCTCCCATCGTCTCACAATCTATCTCTTCGGGTTTTCGGGCAGTGTCGGATTTGCCATCCATCATCTCATGTTAGTCCAGCATGTGAACGGCCTTCCGGTGATCACACCATCCCTCCCCGGACAAGGGACCGTGCATGCTGAGGGATGGCTTGTCGGGCAATATGCTTCTTTCTATAATTCTGGGTTTGCAGCCAGTCACAGTCGTCTCGAGATCAAGATTTGCTATCCGTCATTGTCGTCGCCTCATTTTAGGGGGGCGGCTGGATGGATCGAGGCATGGATGAATGGATGGATGGATGGATGGATGGATGGACGGACGGATTGATAGAGGCGCGCATGGAGGGACGGACGGACTCATGACACATCACGGACAGATTGGAGGGGCGGAGGGAGGCAGGAAGCTTATGACGCTGCAGGGCCGGGTGGTCCACATGTTGTTTTCCTTTTTTTTCACATTCGGTTTGTTGCATTCGTAAAGTTCGAACCAGTAGTACTATGCTTCGGGGTCCTTCGCAAACGATGCTGCCCGTTAGGTCCAAAATGAATCACGCCTGCCACATGACATGTCCTCAGTACCAGACCGTGCAAGCCAAAGTAACCAGTCAAGCCGTTTACTTTTCTACATGTACCTACCTCGAGACTCCCAAGATTCCCACGTCTATCATCCGCATCTGATTGAAGCCCAGGGGGGCTGTCGTGACCGTTGATTTTGTTTTGCTTCTGCTCGATTCTCGATGTAAACTGTTTCTAGACGCCACACTACGCAACACTAACGCAAAAACAATGAGAAGCAATGTGTCATTTCACATGAAACTTTCTATGTTTCATCAACATCCGCAGTCAAGTTATTTCGTTTTCCACATTTCAACCAAACCTCCGAACCGAGTTCCCACACCTGCGTGGAAATCCGAATGGAGGCTTGGGCTCATCTTGTTCTCGAACGCGTTGGACTGCAGAAATGTGAGAACGTAAAGATGTTAACATGTAGGGATTGCTGGGCGTTTGGACATGGGGAGATGCAAAAATGTGAAACTGCAAGCACTGTGAATGCGCCCACACCGCAGATTTGGATATCTGGTGACACTAAACCCCCAATGCAAAGCATGAGCTCTGCTTGTCTTTACTTCACGTGTAGAGGAAACGGACCCTTTCTTCGCGGATTGTTTCGGTTTCTGTTGCCGCGGTCCCGGGAGTGTGGAGATGTGGGCATGTAGATTCGAACTTCAAGAACGAAGTGCGCGAGCATAAACGCACTCGCAAAGTGCCGCTTGTACGTAAAGTAGACACTGTCCGTAAAACAAAGCATAACCACATATATTCAGAGATCCTCAAACCAGATCAAGGCGTGATCAAGTGGAGAGGACTAATTCTTGCATCAGGTCCCGGGTTGATGGGGGATTCTTGGGGACATTAAGATGAGCACAGGGTGCGGAGCAAGGGTCTTAGCGTTGCAGACACCCTGGTGATATGCACCGTCCAGCCATCTGTCCGTTGAGCATACTACCTTGCCAACCACCATCACTAGCATCGCCATCACCACCAGCATCATCATCACCACCATCACCATCACAAGCATCATGACGTCCTCATCAACTCATCATCACCATCACCATCATCGTAAACCATCATCCTCTGCTTTTTCGTCAACATCGTCATTCAGGAGATGTCGATACGAGTGCAGCCCTCACGAGGATGACTGCAAGCAATACCTGAAGCGATTTGCAACCGCGACCAAGCTCTGGTAACAAGGAGTCGTATCTTTTGGAACACTGACGGGATTCTTCTGTGTAAGTAGTCTGGATTCTGTGACTCTGCTGCCATCCCAGCAGCATGCACCAGCGAATCCTGCTTTGTGGATTGGAACCCGAAGCCCGGAAATGGCATTCGAACCGAGTGGGTTTGATCAGCAAGTAAACTTGAACCCGAATCCCCGAATCCCGGAGCTTGGTGACCTGGTGCCTCGAGGATCCGCATGTCATGACCCTCGTGCAGTTCTGGAGCCTCGCCCGAGATTCCGGCATCCTTACGCTTGAGTCTCGGAGAGGGAGCAAGAAGCAGAGGGCATATTGATGGGCAAGGTTTTTGTGTGGTGGGAGTTTTAAGATTTCTCGGGTTCAGGGGCCAAAATGTTGAGGCCCCAGAGCTCCATCGCCCGTTTCGACCGCGCGATCTTCTCTGGTCCGAGGCAGTTTGCTTGTCCGGTGCGCTCTGACCAGCCCGCGGTTGTGCAAGTGAGGCACCAGAGTGAAATGGCGCCGGAAGACGAGCAGGCTGCTTTGAACTTCAGCCCGGGGTGCTGAAAGTGTGTGGCTGACACGGCGTGCTTGTGCAATGATTCCTAGCACTGAGTCTTCACGCATCTCTAACTTGATTGATAGCAACCCTGATTTGGGTTAGCATCGCAGGCATGGGACGCAACGAAGCCCCCGACCCTAAACCAACGTAGCATTGCGGGTGAACTGGAAGAATCGGTTCAGCCGTCGTGAAGCAACGGGGGTGCAACGGGCATGACACAACTTGTCCCTGTCGAAGAAAGTGCTGTAGTAATTAGCGCTTTAGCGTGCCTGCCTCGGTTGAATCTGGTGGTAGTCTTTATTTAGACCATGTCTGCTATCCGGCGAAGCGCACTGACTGGTAAACACGTCGCCGAAATCACAACAAAGTTCAATTTGAAAAGCGGCCTGCAAAACCTGACCCCTGCACCCGAAGCCCCAAACCCTCAACCCAGTGCCCGGTGCGTCCGTGAGGAAATCGCAGAGTTGTTCGAGCCATCCGAGAAGATGGCGACGATCTCTCTACCTAGGACCGTGGCGCTGCAGCTCACTTGCTTCTGCGGGATTTGGGAGTTTCAGAAGCCCAGGAAACCCAGTGCAAACCCGCTTGAAATGAAACTTCCATTCGCGTGTGAGGACAGGCTCATCCTCCTCTTCGAAGACCGTGGAGGCTTCTCACACTTGCTTCCGCTGAAAGCATTGCGAAAGCTTTTGGGGGCTGGCAGACACAGTATGACATAGTCACACGATGCAGTGCGACTTTTTGTGACCGTGGCTTTTCGCCCGACACATCTTCTCCACCGGGCCGGGCCGGTTATGCAAGAATCATGGAATCATGCGCGTTGGTAGTCCTTTGCTTAGATCCGTTCCTGACTCCAAGTCCCTTTTGCTCGGCAGGCCGATGAGGAGAGTACCAGACAGGACTGGGATTCTGCTTGTGGCCACCTGGAGCACGCAGCAAGTTTTGCTCGGACCGTGGGAAGTGCGAAGGAAAGCAAGGAGCAAGACTTCTGGGATGAGGCGACGGAGGCCGGGGATGCTGCAGGCATTGCTCGAGGCATTCTGGGCTTAGCAGCAGACCCTGCAAGGCCTTGTACGACATCTTCGAAGTGGGAGGAGCCCACTGGGTGCACAAGACTTCTGGTGTTGTTGAGTCAAGTAGAGCACCCAGGAGCTTCGGGCAGTACTTTGGGAAGGAAGTTCCTTCGTTCCGACGAGTCAGGCTGTCGATGGCAGGTTTTTTTTTTTGTTCCGAGGCTGGCTGTGTTTCTCTTGGCCAGATGGAAACCTCGTGCACATACATGCTCCTGCCCGGCCGTTGCTGCCGCACACCCATCTTCTTCCGTGATGCATCTCGCGTTTGCACCTGAGCTCGACCGGGTCCTCAAGGTTTCGGCAGTTTCTGGAAAGCTTCTCGGCTTCAAACCTCTCGCACCCCAAAGCAAAGCGCTTCTTTTTTTGGCTGAGGCTTTGTGCGCATGGCGCCGATGCGCTTTCCCAAAGAGCAGGGCCTGGAGCAGCAGGCGCCAACGTTCCTGTGCCGCGGATCTTCCGCCGCTCGCCTTCGCCTTGCCGCTTTGCTTTGTTGGCGCTTTGCAGGTGCAGCGGCTCTTCAAGGAGCAGGTGGAGCCATGCTGCGTTTGTCGGGGGTCTTCCTGCGTGAAAGGAAGGTCACAGGGGTTTATACTGGCAGGTGGCTCCCTGCTTGAAGATGGTCTCTGGAAGCAAGTCCGAGGGCGGAGGCTGGTCTTCTCACCCTCGCTGCCTTGCTTGTTGCCTCGCATTTGGCTGCGACTCTCCTCAGAGGACTCATCAGCATGCTTGCGAACTTTCGTCGTCCAGCGAGCTCCGCCTTCGGGCTCTTCACACAGCCGGAGGTCAGGGAGGTGGTCTACGAGGCACCGCCGGGCGGGAATGCCTGGCAAAGAATGCGTGGCACTCTTTCACCCTTTTCCTGCTGGGCAGCTGGAGCCGATGCTCTGGAAGATCTTCGTCGAGCTGTCGGGTGATGCTTTCGCCAGCAAGGACACCTCGCCAGAGCGTGGGGAGCAGCACCCGAAATCCCGGTTCGCTATTTTCCAGGCGGCGAAGAGCATCGGCGGCGGCGGGATCTTCTCCGGAGCTGGCGGTCTTGGGGCGAACCCTTCCAACGCGAAGGCGCCACAGGCGCTGCAGCACGCGAAACGTCTCTCAGTGTGTGCTCTGCCCCACCATTGGCTGTGCTTGGGGAGGCGGCGAAGCACCCAACGAGACCTGGCCGCACTGGGATCCGGTTCGCAGAGCCGGTAACTGACAGATTGCACTTGGCACTGCATGGCACGGCATGGCACTGCAGTGCACAAGGAGCCAGGCGACAGGCGCCTTGCATCGACAGCCCCGCAAGCGTTGCAGAGTTTCTTGTTGCCATTGCAATTGGAGGGCCAAGCGAAGCGGTGCCGCTCTCGGCTAGACCCCTAGAAAGCAGAGCGCTGATAAGAAACGCTTCACGTGCCAGGAGTCGGGCTGGGCCTGCCACTGTCAGGCAGAGAGCTGGGCGTTGTCTTTGCATGTATGTATCTATGTGTGCGTGTGTGTGTGTGTGTGTGTGTGCATAGTGTAGATTCGGTGGGGGGCAGAGAAAGCAACTCTGAGTTGAACTGTAATTATTGCTCGAAGTCATTGGCTAATCCCAGAAAGCTGATATTAGCAGTCATGAGACTCTACATACACCGTCTGACGAGTGTGTAGAAGCTTGCAGGCATGCTCGGGAACATGCTAATCATGTCCGAGTAGTGGACAACACATGATGGTAGGCCGTGGCATGAAAACATGTGAACCACGATCGCTCAAGAGGACACGTTCTAAACGCAGATACGTGATGTGTTCTTAGACTAACTAGCATGCAACTATACAGTATAGAAGAGCAGATACAGATGAGTAACTTGGTAGACTTGCAAGTAGATGGTAGACGAGTGAATAGGCAATAGATGAATATGCTGAATTCTGGTATTGCAAGATGGCCAAATGCTTGTGGTTGTATATGCCTTCTTGTATACGTGCCTGTACGTCTAAGTGTCAACAACGCCTGGCGAAAGGCTCGGCTTCGCAGCTGGGGTTCGCCACTGCGTGAACTGCATGTGTTCCGCCCAGACATTGGTTCTGCTGGCGAGTACTCTGCAGGTTGCATAGATGCTGAAGGTGAGACTGAGAAGGGCTTCGAAAGTTGCCTTTCCAAGGTAGGGCACCTGCCATCTGATTGAATGGGATGCATCTTAAGGTGCGTTCGAGGCTGACCGTGAGCCTACGTGTCAAGGCCGATAGGTGCGACGCCTCGGCATGTGGAAGAGGAGCGGGCCTTGTGAGGATGTCCTCCGGTTTCTGCATGCCTTGGGCTTCCTGCAAAACACCTTGCCGGGGGCCAGAAAGCGACTGTTGTGTCATCGTGGTCCTGAGCAGTCTGACTTGCATCGAGGATCAAAGAGCAGCACCGGCCCCTCACCGAAGTGGAGCCCTCGGTTCCTCTCCAGGGCCTCAGGGTTCCGCTCTGCAGCAATGCCCGCAGCAATGCCGAGCTACTTTTCGTTTCAGGTGCTGTCTGGCTCTGAGGGGGACGCTGTCAACAACCTTCTCAGCCTGAGCCCGAAGCTTCGAAGCTTCCAGGATCAGCTTGAACGTCCGCTCGTGACTTAGACCCTTTGGGCAGCGGCTTATCTCAAGAAGAGCCTCCGGAGGAAGAGAACCCGAGTGAGGACGTCCACTTCCAGAAAGCTGCGGGAAGTCTCCATAAGTCGCTTGAGACTCCAGGATGACGAAGGCTCCGGCGGCAGCGCAGCGCCCGAGGAGGACGAGGCCAAAGACGTCTCCACTCAAAAAATCAGAGCATCCACGTGCGCCGTGGCGTTCGGCTGAGGACGTCGGCACCAAGCAGCTCCCCGGGCTTTCCATCAGCTTCATGCCCAAGGGCTCGCTCTTAGGCCCTGCGCCCGCCTCCCCCCCGTCTCTCTCTCTCTCTCCCTCCCTCTCTCTCTCTCTCTCTCTCTCTCTCTCTCTCTCTCTCTCTCTCTCTCTCTCTCTCTCTCTCTCAAAAAATCAACATAAGCGGTAACCAAGATCAATCACTTTCCCCAGTCACACTCAAGCAGACATTCCTTTGTGACGTCGAGCCTTGGTCCAGTCTTGAGCCAATGCCATAGGGCATCGTAGCATTCTTCATTGCATCATGACATTAAGGTCACATTCGGCTCGTGTCATTAATTTAACACAGTTCCTCGATCTTGACTTTAGTCGAAGATCATTCCAAACAAACGAGCATAGGTGGTGGCATTCGCGAAGCGATCAGAAAACAGTTAGAACAGTCAACAATCAAAGCAGCGAAAGGATCAGTGGTCTCATTCCGGACTTTTGGCTCGACTCGGGATGACATTCGAGTCGTGACGAAAACGGCATTCGGAGGCCGGCTTGCACTGTACAAAGTGATCATTGCAGACAGTCGGCTCATGCTATATTCAGTTGAATCCGAGAACTTCATTCTTTGCAATCCGCGGAAGAACTCCGTTCAACATTTCGCAAAGAACTTCACATTCGCAAAACAATCGCATTCACATGGCACGCCTAAATTAACTCGGCTGCTCAGTGCATTCACTTCACAGTGCCTATCGCATTCTTGCGCAGGACAATCTCGGAGCCTGGGTCGAGGGCATTTGCAAGGGCAATCCCAGAGGCCTGCTCATTTGCCTTGGCCTTGGGAGCATTCCAAGCAGTGGCTGCGACAGTCTCCTCATTCTCGTAGATCTCGTCCCATGTGGCAAAATCGTGATCCAATCCTGCACCCATGCATTGGCACAGTGGGATCATTGTGTGTCCCATCAGCCTCCATTCCACACGGGAGTCGCCTCTTCTATCGGCGAGCATTCCCCATTCGATGATCTCATCCAGTGACAGTAGCAGTTTGGGGCTGCGCACACTCATTGGGTCCGTCATTGGCACACGGACAATTCCGGCACTCGCTTGGGACAGTGCCTCCATTGTCCATCTCCAGTCATTGGGACCATTTCCATCCCACTCGAAGGTGCTGATGTGATCAGTGAACTGGCGGTTGAAATAATTCGCCAGCTTCTTTCGAGCATTGCCACCGGGTCCTCCAGCGACCCATCGTCTCATTGCAGCATTCTTGGTGCGGCGAAACACCACGAACGCAGTCGGCTCTTCATTCTCACGATGCTCGAAGACGCCTTGGTTGGCCCATTGGACTGTCTTGCTCAGTGCGCTCAAGGCATTGAAACTTCCATTCAACTGGTGGCATGGAAATTTCGACAGGTCCAGTACACCATTGGTCTACAATCCCACTGCCAGTGACAAGGGGAGGCAAAGCCAGTCATAGACATTCACCAAAGCATCGGTGGCATTCTTCTTGGCATAGGGCATAGTGGGGATTTCGCCATTCCACATGCCAGTTTCCTTTGGTGAGGAACAGTCGCTCAGCCTTCGTCATCTGAGTCCAGCTCGTCTCAATCATCCAGTTGTTCAGGCCATTGACCTCAGGGTGGATGTTGAGGGAGTGCATTCGCATTCTCAAAGAGATCACTGGACCATTCGAATGCTGACCCGGATGGTCAAATCGGCACGCAGTCGTGCCACCACTCCGGGTTCCAGGCAAAAGAACACTGATCATTGGGGCATTGTCCTCATTCCACTCTCTCTTGTAGAGAGTCTCGCCCAAATTCACTTTGGCACGGAGCATGCGATCGGCGAGATCATTCGCCCTTTCTTCCACTCTCTGGCGGTCATTCCCCACGACAGTGGTGATGTAGTTGTCGAGCCAATTCCACGCTCGGGTGAGCTCAACTCCACAGTCCATCGCAATAAGGCGGCGGACACTTCCACGGTCACAGGGCCATGCCTGCTAAGCCTGTGCTGCACCATTGTCTCATTCATCAAGTGGCGGGCCTCCCATGGAACCGCATTCGCCGCACCATTCGGCTCACTCAGCGCAGGAGCATCCGGCACCGAATCATTCGATGCAGGTGCTGCATCAGGTCCGAGCAGCACTCCAAGCATCCCTGCACTCGCAGAGGCAGGCTCCTCAGTGCCATTCCTGACATTGACGCCAAGAGCAGCATCAATCGCAGCAGGTCCAACCGTGGGGGCATTCGCCAGTGGCGGGTCCCCAGGTGGACGGATCATTGTCAGTCCCTGCGCCAGTCGATGCAAATCCTGGCGATTCTCCGGGATTTGCACTCCAGTCTGGCGTCCACATGTCGGCAAATCGGACAAGTTTTGGCACAGTCCCTTCGGGACCAAAAAGAAAACAACCGGAGAAAACATTTCGGAAAAGAATCTCTCATTCTCTCAACTCTCTCTTTCTTTGGTTTTTGGGTTTTCGGGTAACGTTGAAACATTCGCGCGTGCCGACATGACAAGACAAGTGAACATTGCACGTGCAGTCGTGACAAGAAGCTGCTGCATTCCCTTTACACTAGACAGAACAGCAGTGTGACATGTGCAGTCAGAACATGCAATGCACTCACCGCATTTCACCTACACAGTCCCTCGGCGTGGACTTCAGTCCAACGGCGTCCAGAGAAGCACTTTGCACAGTGGGTACATTCGGAAAGCGCACGAGGGGTGCGCGGGCCATTTCCAGTAGGGCGGCGGTCGGGGAGGAGGAGGCCATTGAGCGTTCACCGCCGGAGCAACATGATCATGAGTATCATGAGCATCAGTGGTGAGATCCTTGAACCAATTCGACACAACAACAATGTGTGCCTTCAGTCGCTGCAACACAACAGTTGCAACATATTTGCTCGTTAGATCTTAGCCATCGTCAATAGGCCCAATTGCGCCAAATTCTGGACATAGAGGAACCTCAGTTCCACGTGTTTCGCCTTCTTGCCAGTGCCATAGCGGGTAGCCCGCAGTGCTGTCGGTGTGAGCAATCACACTCACCTTCTTCGCTAGCTTTGATTCCAACAGCATTGATCGGACAAACAGTGCTTCAGACACTCCTTGAGCAATCGCGTACAACTCCGCTTCACCAGAGGACAGTGCCAGTGTTCCCTGCGTCCTGGCAGTACTGACCACATTGCAACCATGGACATTCACAGTGGAACCGCTAGTGCTCTTCCGCGCGCGGGAGCAACTAGCCCAGTCAGAATCCACATAAATGTTGATGCCCGCGGCGCAGTTTCCATCACCGAGTTGATACGACGGTCTCAGTCTTAGCGCGCACATTTTCGTGCCAATCCCATAGCGCGACAGGTGTTTGCATTTAGCGACACTGTGCATGGTCGGTGCAGTCACATCCCGACTCAACTCTTTCGTCGCATATGCAATATCACCGCGAACCAGTGCTAGCCACAGCAGTTTGCCAACCGCGGTCCTGTACACCTTGTGCCTTGTGCTCTTCAGGACTCAGTGGCGTATCCGGAACAGTCTTGCTGATAGTCGACGTTCCAGTCGTCGCCACAAGCTTGGCATCTTTCATTCCACACAGATCAAGAATCGTATCAATGTATTTCTGTGCCATGAAAACATCAGTCGAATCACCATTATGTCGCAGTCGTCGTCCTGAGAAAGTGTGGTCACTTCCTGGCACCAGTTGGCCAGTCTCTTTCAGCAACACTTCCTCCGACAGTTGAGACATGAACGATTTCCTAATTTCGTCAGTCCCTACGACCAACAAATCATCAACATATGCAAGCACATACAATCGACCAGATTCATGACAGTAGAGGTTAGGGTCACTCTTGCATCTCTGAAATCCCAGTTTCGTCGTCATTACCTCAGCAAAGTGTTCTTGCCACAGTCTTGACGCCCGTCGAAGACCACACATTGCCTTCTTCAATCGCCATAGACACTTCCTGTCAGGGTAGGGTAGAATTCCTTCGGTGGCCATACGAACACTTCCTCATTCATTAAGGCATGCAAAAAAGCAGTGCTGACATCACCCATTGTGATGCCCCAATTCCTTGCCAGTGCCATGCAGAGAAGCAATCTCATTGTGACCAGTGAAGGTGTGGAAGCAAACAGGTTGTCCTCTTCACTCTTCCCAACATTCTGAAAACAACCTCTCACTACCACTCTGCACCGCAGTTCATCTTCACTCTTCCAGACCTTGCTTGACCCATCGACAGTCAAGGGCACCATCAATTTGCTCTTGGGTGCAGTCGTCAGCCTTCACTTCATCATACACCTCAAAATTCTTCATTGAATTCACTTCCTTCATCACTCCGTTCTCTTCAGCCTCAGGCGGAAACTCACTCTCCCACAGCAGTGGTTCGGAGAGTCGCATTTCTTGGTCCAGTTCGCCTTCCTCGGCATTCACCTCTACACCAATCTTTGTTCCATCTTTGCCAACCACTTCGTCAACTCCTACAATCGACGCAAGCCACTTACAAGCAGGGATCACTCCGGCAATCATATGATGTACGGCGGAAATCCTCATTTGCTTCGTCGATGGCTCAGTCACGGGTGCATCTGGATCAATCCTTGCACTTTTCCTCAGCGATTCTCCAGTCGCCTCAGGTGCTTCATGATCCATTTCAGCAGCGGATCTGGCATTGCCATCTTGAAGCAACAGATCCTGCTCAGTGACACTTTCACTCGGACCAGGTACCATGTCTTCAAACTCAACATTCCCTTCAACTTCTTCCTCAACACGCTCCAGTCCAGGACGGGGCTTCACTCTGCCTTTCACTCCAAGATCTGGTGGCATTACAAACGCAGTCGATTCAACTCCATCTCCACGAGGTTGCCAAGGAGTGGGGATAATTTTTATGACATACGATGCATTCCATGGTTGAAAAGGGGATCTTCTCTTCACAGTCCTGACCTTGAAGACTCCATTGGCATTCCCAGGCACAACCTCATCAGTGTCCTTTCCAAGGTACACTCCAGTGAACCAGTGAGATCCAGCCTTTGGAACACGCACTTTTCCACTCACAGGTACCTTTGCATCAATCAATTCGCCAAACAT